CCTTTGCGCGGACCTCTCCCCGCTCCCGGAATACTTGGCGCGCAATTCCCTGAAACTCACCGCTGAGTGTTGGTTGCCGCCGCCGACAGCAATGTCCTCCTCATCGCCCAACCCGGCACTCGGAAAACGGTCCTTGCCGAGGCCATCATCGCCGCACACCCGAGCGCGCGCATTCTCTTTTTTTGCTATCATCTAAGCGGCCTCTGCAGGAGTCACAAACGCGTCTCGGTTTCGCGGCGCCAAGGTGGCCTTCCACACTCCCTTCACCTCGGAAACCGACTCTTTCCCGGCCAGGACACATGTACTGCGGACGGTCTGCGCGCCGTTCTGACGAGAGGCGGCTTGCCCGAATGACGGGGGTTTGGGTACGACTGAATTCTCGCAGATGACTGCACGCCCGGATCTGTTTCAGCCCTTCATCACCCTCCTGCGTGTCGCCGATTCTGCTGTTGCTCCACGGTTCGTGTTTTCGGGGTCCCAGATCATTGTATCTACGGCGACGCCCGATTCCTCCAACTTACACCGGCATTACTCGTATCGTCATCCCCGCAGCCGTAGAAGACGTTTAGCTTACAAACGAACATGCGGATCTCACACCCAACCGTGACCGCATGGTTCATAAACAAGCTCTATCCCATCGGACAAATTGGTTTTCATGCACGACCGGAGCCCGAAGTATTGGACTGTCTCGACGTGAGCCTCCTCGTCGACCATCTCACCCGCCTCATCCAGAAATACCCCAGCTGCGTCGTGCTCGCGCCGTTTCTCCACAATCTCCCAGAAAGCCACCCACTGCTCCGCCTCACCAACAGCCTCACCGTGCGCGGCATCGGCGTGACCGAGCCCAACTCAGACAATATGCCCTTAGATGCTGACGCCTTGCGAGGGAAAGTGGCCATCAGCACCTATCGCAAGTTTCAAGGGAGTGAACGCGACCTGTTGGTTGTATTTATGACTGCGGACTGGCGCGAGAGGTGTCCCGAGGCAGCCTTGGTCGCGTTGACGCGGGGTTCTAAGCAGTTGGTGGTCGTCAAGTACGGTGCGATGGAACCGATATACAATACATGGCTCGCAGTGTAGCAACAACGTCTTTTATTCTTTCTGGTCCGATGGCAACTCCGACGTCGTTTACACCAACGGCACTGGTGGGCAGTACGGCATTCAGTGGTTCGGAAATGGGGATTTCGTAGGCGGGAAAGGATGGAACCCTGAAGCTGGAAGGTGAGATATCGTTTTCTAATTCCACAACTCATCTCAATTTTTTTGGAGATATCCAGAGCGATTACCTGGCGGCACTTACGGCCCAAACCCCAGCGCCAACAGCTACCTCTCCGTCTACGGCTGGTCGACCAACCCTCTCGGCGAATACTACATCAACGAAGACTTCGGCATCTTCAACCCTTCCACAGGCCTCACGTGTAACCTCCGATGGATCGGTGTACAGTATCTACGAAGGTACACACGTGAACCAGCCCTCGATCCAGGGCACCGCGACTTTCAACCAGTACTGGTCTATCCCCCAGTCGCATCGCACAAGCGGGACTGTTACTACATAGAACCACTTCAATGCGCGGGCAGCACTGGGGATGCATCTGGGGACGTTGAATTATCAGATTGTAGCGGTAGAGGGACTTGACAGCAGTGGGACTGCGACCATCACTGGTTCCGGATGAAATAATGCTGCGGGTGCGTTGGTCTTAAATGGACGTTGTCTACTTACTGATTTACGATTTTGGTTTCAAGGTTGACAAACATGTCGTGATTTTGCAAATCTCGGTCCTCAGCTATCCTCCTTTCGCATCTTCCTTCCTTCCTTCCACCCGTGGGTGGATTTCTCCAAGACAAAAATATTTTTGTTACTTGCAACTCAGGCTTAAGTTCGAACCTGGCAGCCTAATCATCGACGAAGCATTGACAAAGGACAGCGCATCCAGCGACTCGTCTGCAGCATTGAAATGCTGCGTGTTTGACTCGCCACTTGGGGCTTGCGCCGGTGCTTATCGGCGCTTCACTGAGAATCTATTCAGTCATGGTTGTTGTGCGCGTGTGCAGACTCTTTGCGGCGGGGCAACACTGCAGGATAAAAGAAGCAGAAGCGCACATCATGATCATGTCGAGCTCATCAAGTATAGGAGAGGAAAAAAAGCACGTTCTGTCCAGACCCTAACATGCAAGCTACGAGGTAAAAATGTCGATGCAGACGTCAAGAAAAAGCCCGCAGAGTAACTAATAGCTCTCCCTCCTTTTCTGAATCCATCATCTGTCCAATGAACTGGGACGAGAAATCGCGTTCGCGGCCCGGGAGCCACTGAACATGTATCTCAAATGGTCCTTTTTTGTAAGGACGAGACGTCTGGCGCGAGGTAAGAAATTCCCAGAGAGAGTCGTCGCGGAATTGGATGAGCGAGATTAACGACAAGAATGTGAGGCGAGGAACAAGGGATTTATCATCATCGGGTCTCCAGACGAGTCGGTGCAGGAGGATGTCTGTGATTAGAACATGACCGGTCTCGTAGTCTTCGCAGTCCGAGATGTACAACGCCTCCAACGAGGTTATAAGTTCGAGGCATTGCAGGAGTTCATCGTGCTGGATCACGGCCTCGATGTCCAGTACTGTCAGGCTGGCGCACATTGAGGAACGCGAGGCGAAGGACAAGAAATGGGGCTGATTCCAGAGAAACGGTAGTTCGTCGTATGGACGAAAGACCCGGAATTTGCGTAGCCGAGGCAAAGTGAGGCATCCAAGCATTGCCCCAACAACTGAGTCTGTGTCAGTGCGACTGGAGCTGGCGTGGAGTGTGATGGTCAATGCAGAGATGCCGGAGGTTACTGGCTTCAAAACCAATGGGAGGATGACGGACGAAATATCGACTGTGAGAGAATACTGAATGTCGTTCGAGATAAGAGGGAGCATGTCAAAGCCAATGGAAAGTTGGTCAGAGTCGCAGTTCTCGAATGCCACGTCGAGGAGTTGGCCCCAAGGGAGCGTTGGCAATCTGGTAGACCGCCCAGTCAATGTAAAATGTGTTAATCTTGGAGCGATTTCGAATATATCGGCTTCGAGTTGGCCCTCGCAATGGGCATGAAGATGGAGTTTTTCCAGGACGGGCATGTTTCCCCGTGCACCAGCGAGGAATCCGAGAGACGTCGGATGAATCCACAGATAGATGGTCTTCCATCGTCGCGCATCCCGAGTGATCAGTTGTAATAGCGGGCACTCGTTTGAGTCATCCTCAACGGCAATATCCAAAGTCAAAGGGACATCTACCCCACGTTCGAGGGACAACGCAACGAGTCGCAGCAGCGTATCCGAAGATACAGGACATTTGTCCCAACAGGTAGTGTCCACTACCACGGTAGACCACAACATCGCGGTGTCCATGATTACATCGTGCCAGCGCGAGCAAACCTGGAAGAAACATCAGAAATCGGCAAGCGAACGCAGAAGGGTTAACTAGCTTGAGACGGTCGCAAAAGATAGGTCTTGGCCAGTCGTTCCAATTCTTCTTGTGGTGTTGTTTCGTCTGAGACTGTGTCGGCACCAGGTGGAGCGCACATGTCGAAAATGTCGACTAATAATTCTGTAGGGAGCCGACGCACTGGCGAAAATGCGCTCCGGCATCCATCTGCATAGGACTCCAGGATAGATCGTTCAGACCGTAGCGCATCGAGGGCTTCCTGCAGCCGTTGAATTTCTTCGTCGTATCGTGCAAGCTCGGCGGGTGCCTCGGCGATGAATGAGCGGAAACTGGATGTCTCGGGGGGGAAAGAGTTAGAGCGTATGCTGTCGCGAAGCTGGTTGATCTGGGCGGGGTTGGGAAGGATGTGCGACTTCTGGAAGGGATTTTCGCCGCAAGTAACACACAAGGGCATTGCGACAAAAAGTGGTGGCAGGACTTGTGACAGGATTGTGACAGGATGTCGCAAAGAAGGAAGGGCTCGGAACAATTCCGAATGATCCGGCGGGGACATCCCGAAAGTGACGCCGCAACTTCAACATCATTACTTATGAAACGCAGAAATTGTCACCTTGAGGTGTTGTTCCTGCAGAACCTGCCATTACGCCTCCAGCAATATTTTACAAAAGCTGAAGAGACTCCCTCCATTTTGACGGCACCCTGCCAAGGAATCGAAGCCAGCCCTACGATTCCTCCAGACTGTGGTGTTAAGTGACTAGCTGTAACTTCTAAGCAGCCACGCTCATATATGATATTCAAGTTTGGGAGTAGCCTATGAGGTCTCGCGTACAACAATCATCCTCAGAACTAGCCGATCTTTGTTTAGGGTTGGAATGGCATGGACTCACAACTCGATGCACATACCCAGGCGTAGTTTACCGGAAGAGAAAGCCTGGTGGCGGATGGTCCGCACCCACATATAATTCAATATCTGCGTCCTCGATTACGCAAGTGGGGTACCCTCGTTCGAATCGGGGTCAGGCTGTCAGGGGTGATATGACGCTTTTTTGCCCAGCAAAAGAAACGGTAGCTGCCGTACTAGTAGAGCATGTATTGCAAGAGGGTCAGTATAGAAATTCAGGTGGAGGTACAGAAAGCCTGCACCCGCGCTCAATTGTTTTTTTTTTTTTGTTCAAACATCTTTGGTTGAAAAAAGGAACAGGCGAACTCGGTGCACATACCCAGGTGCCACAGAGGAGAAATCCTGGTGGCGGATGGTCCGCACCCACATATGATTTGAGTCGAGAACAGATGCAAATGGGATACCCTCGTTCGAATCGGGGCCAGGCTGCTCTGCGTCACGGTTCCAATGTCATTCTTTTTTTCAAAAATAAATAGAAGCACCTCATGTATTGTATGCCAAGTGCGCTGAGTGGAGGTATAAACCGGAAGCGGATGGTCCGCGCTCAGATACAATTATCGGTTGTAGAGGGCGACATCGGGCCGTACCATTTTCAGTTGCATACAGTTGTGTATAAAATGCGAACCGTGCGCTGTCAGAAAACGCTGTATGATAACCAGGGGCAGTTCATGCATAGAGAAAGCCTGGTGGCGGATGGTCCGTACCCACATGTAATGCGTAGTTCGTCCTTGCTTACTCAAGTGGGATACCCTCGTTCGAATCGGGGCCAGGCTGTAGTTGGAGAACAATGTTTGTTGCCCAACGAAAGAAATGGTAGCTGCTGTAGAGCATATATCGCAAGAAGGTCAGTGTTATCATACCTTTCATGTGGGTATAATTGGCGTATAAAATCGAACAGGGAGGGATCCATGCATCGGAAAGCTGTATGATAACCAGGGGCAGTTAACAGACAGAGAAAGCCTGGTGGCGGTTGGTCCACACCCACATATGATTTCAGTCAATAGAATAGATGCAAGTGGGATACCCTTATTCGAATCGGGGTCAGGCTGTTTGATTTGATTGGTAAGATCTTTTTGTAGAAAAGGAATGGTAGGTTCTACTCAGTCCAAAGTTATAGAAGCCCTTGCAAACTCTCTTGATCATAAACCACCACCATCAATTTGGGTGGCACGGTACAATTCTCCGCAACCCCAACCATTGAACCAATTCACATCCCCCGACAAGGCAACAGTGTCGGATCTCTCCCAGCCCCTCCTGTGAGCAGGAACTGGGATTGAGATGGATGCGGGAGTGCGGGGATGGTACCACTCTTTGTGCCACTCATCGCACGTACCCACCCACTTTCACGGACTTCAGACGTAGTTACCCTGCGTCCGAGGCCCACCCCACTCAAGACTTGGCCACCTGGCCCGGCGTGTTCCATTATGCATATGCACTCCTCTACCACCCATGCCACCCTCCTCTCTTCCATCCTCGGGATCTTTTTCATCCCTTCCGGCACATCCTAGCGGAACATGCCATTTCACACCCCACCAAGTTCAACCCTCAGTAATCCACACGATCCCCAGCCTTCACGCACAACGATCTCATTGCTTTCCGACCAGCCTCCTCTGTATGGGCACTTTTGTAATTATCCCAGGCCTCCATTTGGGGTGGAGGGGCTGGGCAATGCACTACCAACATACATACATTGGAGACCCTACTCGTATGGGCACTTTTGTACTTACTATCCTCGGCTCCGGGGGGAGGCGCGAGGCAGACTTACACTACCAACATACATACCCCTAGGATAGGATCGCAAAGTAGTCACATAGGCCGTAAACGGCCTGAGCACTACTATAAATATACGGATTTCATCATCATAGAAGCCCTTGCCTTGCCAGCGGATGGTCCGCGCCCGCATGAAATCATTCGTTGTACATATATATAGTGAATTATCGGGTAGTCTTATCTTTCCATGTCAACACAATTGGCGCATATAAAATCGAACAGGCGGTGATCCATGCATCGGGAAAGCTGTATGCTAGACAGGTGTAGCTTGCCAGAAGAGAAAGCCCGGTGGCGGATTGTCCGCACCCACATTTAATAATAAGGCATCTAAGATGAATTACACAAGTGGGATACCCTCGTTCGAATCGGAGTCAGGCTGTCGTTGGAGAGCAATGTTTTTTGCCCCAAAAAATAAATGATAGCTGCGGTAGAGCATGTATTGCATGTGTGTTGAGTGTTGAGGGATGAAACACCTACGCCCCGAACGACAGGTTCAGATGGTCCGCGCGGGCACTCAATTATTCTTTTTTTTGTTTGTTTTCGTGTAAGTAGAAGAATTGGGCATGGAGCATCAACCAGATGCACACAAGGCGCACATAATCAGACCCAGCTTACCAGAAGAGAAAGCCTGGTGGCGGATGGTCCGCATCCACATATAATATCTAGTTCGTCCTTGCTTACGCATGCGCAAGTGGAGTGCCCTCGTTCGACTCAGGGCCAGGCTTTTGATGGAGAGCAATGTTTTTTTTTTCTTTACCCAAAAAAGAAATGATAGCTGCTGTAGAGCATGTATTTCAAGAGGGTCAGTGCAGCCGTACCTTCCATGTCGATACGATTGGCGTATAAAATCGAACAGGTCGTGATCCATCGGAAAAGCTGTATGATAACCAGGGGCAGTTCATGCATAGAGAAAGCCTGGTGGCGGATGGTCAGTACCCACATGTAATGCAAGCCGAATGTAGCATACACGTGGGGTGTCCTCGTTCGAATCGGGGTCAGGCTGTTGTTGGGTGGTTTGTAAGATCTTTTTGTGTAACAGAAGAATGGTGTCAATGGTCTCTGCTCAGTGCAGAGTTATAGAAGCCCTTGCCTTGCCAGCGGGTGGTTCGCACCCGCATAAAATCACTCGTTGTACATAGTGAATTATCGGAGAGTATTACCTTTCCATGTCGACACAATTGGCGTATAAAATCGAACAGGCCGTGATCCATGTATCACAAAAGCTGTAGGATAAGCAGGCTCAGTTCAGCGGAACAAAAAGCCTGGTAGCGGATGGTCCGCACCCACATATAATCGGGCGATAATTGCTGGATTACGCAAGTGGGGTGTCCTCGTTCGAATCGGGGTCAGGCTTTCGCGTAAGTAGAAGAATTGGGCACGGAGCATCAGCCAGATGCACACAAGGCGCACATAATCAGGTGCAGCTTACCAGTAGAAAAAGCCCGGTGGCGGGTGGTCCGCATCCACATATAATATGTAGTTCGTCCTTGCTTACGCAAGTAGGGTACCCTCGTTCGAATCGGGGTCAGGCGGTACGCTGGAGAGTGTGATAATGTTTTTTTTGGCCCAAAAAGAAATGATAGCTGCCGTAGAACATGTATTGCAAGAGGGTCCAGGTCGGTGCAGTCGTCCCCTTATGCGGATACAATTGGCGTATAAAATCGAACAGGCCGTGATCCATGTATCACGGGGGCTGTAGCATAAGCAGGCTCAGTTCAGAGAAAGCCTCGTGGCGGATGGTCCGCACCCACATTTAATAACAAGGCATCTAAGATGAATTACATAAGTGGGATACCCTCGTTCGAATCGGGGTCAGGCTGTTCGGTCATTAGCAAAAGTTTTTTATATCAAAAAAAGAAATGATCACTGCCGTAGAGCATGTATTTCAAGAGGGTCAGTGCAACAGTACCTTCTATTTCATTACCGTTGGTGTATAAAATCGAACAGGTGGAGATCGAGGTATCACAAAGTTGTATGATGACCAGGGCGGCCTACCAGAAGAGAAAGCCTGGTGGCGGATGGTCAGCACCCACATATAATATCGGGTATGTTCAGGCTTACGCAAGTGGGTACCCTCGTTCGAATCGGGGCCAGGCTATTGGGCGGGAGTACGGGCTTTTCTTTTGGTTTAAACGGTTTGGTTTCCGGGGCCCAACCAGATCGTGCGCAACATAAGCAAGTGCAGCTTACCAGAAGAGAAAGCCTGGTGGCGGATGGTCCGCACCCACAGTTAATGGAGGAGTTAATCCTGACTTGTGCACGTGGGGTACCCTCGTTCGAATCGGGGTCAGGCTGTCGTGGAAAAACAATGTTTTTTCCCCAACGAAAGAAATGGTAGCTGCCGTAGAGCATATATTGCAAGAAGGTCAGTGGAGTCGTACCTTCCGTTTTGTTTACAGTTGGTGTATAAAATCGAAAAGGCGGAGATCCATATATCACAAAAGCTGTAGGATAAGCATGCTCAGTTCATGCATAGAGAAAGCCTGGTGGCGGATGGTCCGCACCCATATATGATTTCAGTCGATAGGATAGATGCAAGTGGGGTACCCTCGTTCGAATCGGGGTCAGGCTGTCGTGGAAAAACAGTGTTTTTGCCCAACGAAAGAAATGGTAGCTGCCGTAGAGCATATATTGCAAGAAGGTCAGTGGAGTCGTACCTTCCGTTTTGTTTACAGTTGGTGTATAAAATCGAACAGGCGGAGATCCATGCATCGCAAAAGCTGTCGGATAAGCAGGCTCAGTTCATGCATAGAGAAAGCCTGGTGGCGGATGGTCTGCACCCACATATAATATGGCGATTGGTGTTTCGCATGTGGGGTACCCTCGTTCGAATCGGGGTCAGGCTGTAGTTGGAGAACAATGATTTTTTGCCCAAATAAGAAATGATAGCTGCCGTAGAGCATATATTGCAAGAAGGTCAGTGCAGCCGTACCTTCCGTTTTGTTACAGTTGGTGTATAAAATCGAAAAGGCGGAGATCCATGTATCACAAAAGCTGTAGGATAAGCATGCTCAGTTCATGCATAGAGAAAGCCTGGTGGCGGATGGTCCGCACCCACATATAATAAATGTAATGCTAGCGTCTTACGCAAGTGGGATACCCTCGTTCAACTCGGGGCCAGGCACTGTATATGCCATGGAAGTTTTTATGTAAAAGGAAATGGTGGAGCAATGGTGGAGCAAGCGGATTCGGGGTAGGGACTGGCTGGATGTTTAAATCTGAAGCGACAAGTAAAATGGTCTTTTGATGAAATTAAAAGACTCCGGTGATGGAGCAGCTGACCCACGGTGACCCACCTTCCGTCCGCATCAACAGGAAATACAACGCCAGCTAGTGTGCCCACCTGTGAATCGAGGTCGGTTCTCGCGTCAGGAAGATGCATGCGCAGATCTCGGTTGGCAGAAAATGTTAGAAGTTAACGTTAAGATAAGCGTGGTGCGATTTATCGGGCCCCGCAGAAATTCGGATCAGTCGGGCTGTGCCGCGCACGCGCCTAGGCGGCGATTTTGTCGACGCCGGCGCCGTCTTCGACTCGGAGTTCCTCTGAAACGTCGTCTTCCTCGTAGCTGGCAGAGCTGGGTAGCGCCGCCAAACCCCAGCTGGAGGAGCCCAAGTAAGATTAAACGGCATTCAATTTATTCCGCGAGGTGTATTCCGAAACGATTCCGTCCCTGGTCCGTGATGCATGTGGCACATGGAGTCCGTCGAGGCCGGCGGCGGCGTTTGAAGGCGGGTGTGTCCCTGGGGGTACGAATGCCCGTGCTGTGGCCACTTACAACAGCGAGCCTGGACAAGGCGATCCGCTCACTTGCACGAGACCCCAAGATGTTTTTTTCTTCCTCCTTTTTGGCAAATTTCTTTTTATATTGCAGACATGAGAAAAAGAAGCTGGAAAGAATATAGAGTGAGAAACAGACCCTGCGCAGATCCATTCCAGCTGTGGGGAAGGACTTCTAGGCTTATCGGGTGGTCCGTGCGCATCAGAAAAAGACGTGTGATGATCACTGGGTGGCTGCAGCTCTTTTCTTACTGAGCCCTTGACGTGTCTTGTAGCCATTTTTCGTTCGTTGTTGTTCTCTTCCTCTTCCCTTTTGTGCGTGTCTTTTTTTGCACCCCACACTCGTTTCAAAGGCGCCCCCGACAACACACTCGCTACTTTCGACGTTTTCTAACGTATTCTTGCTCCCCCTCCTTTCCCCTCCTTCGTACGCTACCTTTTCATCCGATGGACGAATCCCAGGCCGCCTTTGCGCAGCCGTACCCCCCATATTCGTTTGATCTCGACATGATGAAGGTACGTCCATTTCGTTGCTAGGCGATACCCCTCCAATATCTCACTCTCCTTTATCTTTCCCAGCGCTCGATGGACGCAGCCGGGGGCCCAGACTCGAAAAAAGCACGGTGGTCGCCCACCTCCTCGCTCCCCAACGCTTCTGCCAGCGGGGCAGCACAACAGGGCTCCCCCCGCGACGTCTACGCCAACTACGGCTACGGCGCCCAGACCCAGGCCTCGTTCCAGCAGCAGTCCCCCGCCCAGGGCGCCTTCAACGGCAGCCCGCTCTACTCCACCCCGCAGCTGTCCATCAACACCCAGACGAACGGCCAGCTCAGCCCCAACACCCTCGCCTCGTTCCAGCAGCAGCAGCAACAACAGCAGCAGCAGCAGCAGCAGCAGCAGGCGCAGAGCCCCGTCGCGGGCAGCCCGTACGCGCAGTTCAACCCCTACAACATGCTCGCGATGGGCTCGTTCCCGTACCCGCAGCAGAACTTCCAGGTGCGTGCGCTCGCTCGTCCGATATGCTGCAGCGATAAGGCTCATTCAGTGGCCACAGGGCGGCCAGTTCACACCGCAGCGTCTCCCCTCGCTCAACATCCCCGCCGCGCAGGCGGTGTACGGCCCGCCGTCCGCCTCCGGGCTGTCGGGGCTCCTCTCCGCGGGCGCGTCCCCCACGGCCGGGCGCACCGTCTACATCGGCAACCTCCCCCCCTCCGCGTCCGTCGACGAGCTCCTCAACCTCGTGCATTTCGGCCCCCTCGAGTCGATCCGCGTCCTCCCCGAAAAGTCCTGCGTCTTCCTCTCGTTTTTGGACGCGCCGACCGCCGCGGCGTTCTTCGCTGACGCCACGCTCCGCAAGCTCACGCTGCACGCGCAGGAGCTCAAGGTCGGGTGGGGCAAGCCGAGCCCGGTCCCCGCGCAGGTGATGCAGGCGATCGCGCAGAGCGGTGCGTCCCGGAATGTGTATCTGGGCGGCCTGGAGGAGGGCATGACGGAGGAGGCGCTGCGGGATGAGCTGAGCAAGTTTGGGCTGATCGACCAGGTCAAGATCGTGCGCGACAAGAATATCGGGTTCGTGCACTTTTTGAGCATCAGCGTCGCTACCAAGGTGCCTTTTCTCCGCTCCTTTTCTTTAATACATGAGACTGATTCTCGTGTAGGTCGTCAACACGCTGCCGACCGACCCCGCATGGGCGGGCAAGCGCGTCAACTACGGCAAGGACCGCTGCGCCTACGTGCCCAAGTCGCAGCAAGCCGCCGCGCACCAGGCCCAGGCCGCCGCCGCGCAGTCCCTCATGCAGTCCTTCGCCTCCCCCATCGCCACGCATGGGCCCTCCTTCGCGTCGCCCGTCGCGACGCACGGGCCGAGCTTCGCCTCGCCCGGCTCCGCGCACCCCAACTCTGCATCGGCGAACCCGATCCTCAGCGGGGCCGCACAGGCGCAGCAGCAGGCACAGCAGAACGGCGGCGTAGGGCAGGGCGGGCAGGGGGGGAGCCCGAATACGGGGTACGCGCCGTACACGCCGGCGCCGTTCAGCCCTGACGCGCTGAGTGCGATGATGGGGATGGGGATGGGGATGTTTGGCGGGATGGGCATGGGCGCGATGAGCCCGATGAGCCCTGGGGGTGGGATGGGGATGCTTGGCGGAATGGGTGAGTTTTTGTGACTTGCGGCTGCTTTTTCGGTCTTTTTCTCGCCCTGCTGCTTCTCTCGTCTCGCTATCTTTTTCCTTCGCCTTGCCTGCTTTCCGTCTTCCCGAGCTTCTTTTCATCCTCTTTGGCCTTCTCCCTCCTTGACTTCCGCCTTCCATTTGCATTCAATCATATTCCTGTGGATGCCCCTACTGCTATCCCCCTCCTTCTGCTTCCACATCTTCCCTTCTACCATATACGGCACCTTCCATCGTTTCATCTTCTCCTGCCCCCTTCCGGTCTTTCCCCCGCCTTCGTCCTTATCTCCCACCCTTTTCATATGCTCCTGCTCCGATTCCCTTCCTCCTTTCTGCTAGTCCTTTTTATCCTGTTTTTCCGCTTCTCGTCATCGACGCCTTCCTTATTTTTTTGCCCTCCTTCCCACCCTGCTGTTCTTCCTCTTCCTCGTCACCTTCGTCCGTCCTTCGCGCCTTCATCTTCTCCCTGCGTCGGCCGTTCTCCCTTTCTTCTCCTTATACATGCATCTCACGTCACCTCCGCCTCCCTCTTTACCCTCCTGCGCTCGACCGTTCCGTCGTTCGTTGCGACGCCTTCAGCTGCGCCTCCTTCCCCTTCTCCCCTTTCTTCCTTCCTTCCGTTCCCCGTCCCTCCCGGCCTTTGCTATCCCTTTCTCTTTCTTCGCTCTCTACACCCCTCCTACCTCTTGCTAACCCACTCCCAGGCCTCGGCATGGCGGGCGGCAACCGCACCGTCTACCTGGGGAACATCCACCCCGAGACGAGCACGGAGGACCTGTGCAACGCGATCCGCGGCGGCGTGCTGCAGAGCGTGCGGTATATGGCGGATAAGCATATTGCTGTGAGTTTTTTTCTTTCGGCGTGTTTTGATTTGCCCGTTACTTTCGGAGACGTTTTTGGGGTGGTTTTTCTTCCTTTTTTTCTTTCTTTCTTTTGGGGGGGGGCGTGGTTTTTATGGGGCACGAACACACGAGCACGCACGAAGCTTCTTCGTTCTGCTGCTTCGTCGCCATCTGCTGATCCTTTGCTTTGACGTCGCCCCGTCACTTCCGACGGTGTCGTGTGACCACCTTGCCTATTTTGCTTTCGTCCCGTTTTGTCCCGTCCATCGTCTTTTATCTTCTCTCCCCTTCTGCCCGCTCTCCCCCACAT